ACTTGTGACCACTCAGTGTATACGTTACTTGAGACAGTCAGTTACCTTTCTTTGGAATCAAAAGCCACAGGAGTATCAATTAGATAATTCTACGTTTTATTCATAGATGAACTTAAAGGCTTGCTTGTTTGTTTCAGAGCAAAGATACATTGATGTGTCCACTGCGGGGAATCGAACACCGAAATCTAATATTGTAAGTCCATAAACACGCGGCTGTCCCACCGGGAGACAAACTTAAAGGCACGGGGGTTATAAAGTGAAATGTAAGAATAAGTTTGAATGGACATGTTGAAAGTAAGCCTACACGTCTAGTCTCATATATATATATATTTAATGTTAACTTTATATAATAAATATATATCATTAAAGTTTGGATTCAGTCTTTACTGGATCTAAAACGTTTTTTTCCAATATTGTCACACATTTTTAATATTTCTTGTTGATGACAGCTTACCATTTATAGAGAAAATAGTGTGATTGTTGTAATTTGTTATCTGTGTGGATTGACCGAATGTGAATGTTTCTTCTGGATGTAATTTAAACCAGTAAAGTATTAATAAAAATCATTTGCCATCAGTAAACATTATTAGACAGTATTAACTATTTTATGTTTAGAGAATTTTAAAATGTTTTAATATTTAAAAAGTTTGTAAATTTGGCTAATTTCGAGCCAGTATTTCCCACAACTCAACGGTATTGGCGCCAGTCTAAAAAGAAATTCAAAACCCCAACAGTTATTAAGCAGGTTTTACGGTATCGAAAAGACAAACATGAAGAATTGTGGCTAAGGCCACCCAAGAAAACTAAACTAAAACAAACGCTATTTTCTAAACTTTTCCTTTGATTTTCGTTTATTTGAAAGATGTCTCTGGACTTTGGTAATACATGAAAGTATGAATGAAGAAGTAATCAGAACAAAAAGAACATCATTAGTACTCTCCATCACAAGTACATTGTCCAGCCCTTGAACAGAATAACGGGACTGACAGCCAATTTATAAAGTGCCCACAGGTGAAAGTGCAGAGGAAGGTTAATGGCACCACTTCTCGAGACTCGGGCCCTTTGATCCATTGTTCAATACACCAACCACTAAGGCACAAACGGCCCCCTAAGTAACTGAAGTACAATCAGTTATCTAGATGGTATTCGAAACAAGGATAATCTTATTTCTGTGCATTTTCTGCAATATATATGTTTAATTAAACTTATTTACTTTGTGTGTCCAACATATATTTTTATGTGCAGTTACCAGTACCATGAAACGCGATGATGAAAAAAGACGTTTATAACACTTGGTCTTATGAAAAAACCTACCTCGCTCTAAGGATGAAGGTCAATATAGATAGATTGGAAACTAATAAGAAAAACCCAGAAGAGCTACCAATGGTCACACTTTCTTTAACTCTTCTATTCATGGGTTGCAGAAGAAGTTCTAGTACGATTTTTTGACATTAAAGTTATAAATAATTTACGTACTTTATAAGAACTAGCATGAAATGTCCGCGCTTCGCTGTGGGAATCAAAGTTTCCCTCATGATTCACAAAGGTCTCTATGTACCGATCAAGTTCCTCTAATATCTCCAGTTGCTTCTATGGCTACCCCAAAGGAGGTACGTATCTGAATAAAAAAAGAAACCGATAGGACACCTCCCTGAGATACCTGAGCACGTGTACCCAGTTTAGCACTGTTGTTTTTTAAGTGGAAATATGAACACAGTTTCCAAAATTGTACCCCTGATCCCGAGAAGGGCCAGGAACACAAAGTCTAGATTCGAGTTCAGAGAACCCGAAAACCTACCCCTAGACCCTCATCATCCGTGGACGACTTTCTGGATACGTTTTAGTCTCCCTTGGTATCCCAAATAAATAAGTGTAGAGTGGTTACTCCATATGGATAAGGACACATCCGAGCCAAACCGAATCCTGCTAGTTCCAAAACTCTAGGAGTTCGCAGAAAAACAAATACACGAACATATAACGTGAATGAATAAAGGATTATAAGGTTTTCAGTTCTCACAGTTTTTGAAAAACTTTTCTAGAATAGAGATGCTATTGTTTATCTACTCTATTAAATTTTTCCTATCCTATCTAGTTTTCAGTTGCATCATATTTCATTGATTCTTGGAGTTTTCCCTTCTGTCGTTTAGATATAATTTTGATTAGTATCTTAGAGCAACGAATACATAGTCAAATAAAACTAACAAGTTAAATTGAATTGTTTTTAATTTCTATTAATTTCTTATATTATCATTATAAGATCTTTTTTTCTTGTTTATGTATTGTGTGTTAGGTATGAATAGAAACTAATAATAAAACCGAACTGTCATCACAGACTTCCCAGTTTAGCTTGGTTTATTTATGCGTCTGTTTTCACACCGATCATTTTCACGAATTAATTACTCATGGATCCTGGAGTTGGTTTCATTTCCATTGCAGAGTAAACACCCAGACACAACAGTCCAAGGATTGCCACTTTGTTTGTTTGTAGTTAAGCTCAAAGCTACATAATGAGCTATATGTGCTATGCCAACCAGGGGTATCGAAACTCGGTTTTTCAGCATTATAAGTCCACAGATTTATTGCTGAGCCACGGGCGGGGGCAGGATCATCACAGTATTTAATGCATACAAAGAATGTATTCAAACAGAAGAACAAACTGGACTGAATGCAATAATTCTAACCCTATCTTACTACGGGCTGGAAATACCAACAAAAATATTTCATCAATAAAACGGACAAGATGTAGACTAGTAGTTAACTTGCTAGGCTGCGGCACTTAAGGTACAAGCGTTATAAAAGTGGCATTCATCCCAGTCACTGGGGTTAAGGGTAACCCTGAAAGTAGCGGGTACTATTGACTGGTTGCCTATCTCTGCTCAACAGTTTTTAATTAGGGGTCTCTGACCTAGCGTTTTGCCCATGTATCGTATAAAATGCCTCTTATTTTGAAAATACCAAATATAATAAAAACGGCGTTTTTGTGCATCGTTAACCACAGAAATATCCTACCTGTACCAGAAGATTCCATCCGTGAAGCTGTGTTCACAGTGTCACCAAACAAACAATATCTAGGCATGGTTAGGCCCACAACACCTGCTACTACTGGTCCTGTAATATATAAGTATCATTTATCACTCCCAAAATATCTTGTTTACAGGTAATTAAATCATCTCTTGATATTGAAAGTAGTTTCGATACTACTTCGCGAGAGTTTCAAACATTAAACAAGTCACTACTGATTAGATCCTCGCACGATTATACGGGCCAGTCTTTCTTAAGTGTCCAATTTGATGTCGCCAGTGTTCTGGGGCAAATTTCTTTGAGTGCGTATCTTACAAACACATGTAATAATTTCTAAATGATGGAAGATGGACAGAGCTTTCCAAACTAATATAATATGTTAAGTTTGTGTTAAATGTTACCAGCAAATCAAGAAAATAAACAATGGTGGGGTGTTAACAGTAGTAAGTCGCCAGTAGAAAATTTTAATTTCAAAGCAATAACACAAATATAAAACTTTAAGCATGACTCAAGCCTTTACTGTTATTTATTAGTAAACATTTATGTTTTGAAAAATTTATTATTAGCTGATTGTCTCATTACTTTTTTTCACATATAAAAATATCCAGAATAACATGTCGCCATAATCATGTGTTCTCCTTTACGGTTGTTTATTTTGAAAATAATAATTAAAAAAAATTGAGTAAATAAAAAGATTAGAGTCTAAAATCAATTCGGGAAATATATAATTTGATTTCATCGTACCCCAAACATAAGGTATCAGGAAATATTTTGGGTATGTCTATTTGGAGCTTGTAATAGAATATATCTAGTACAGATACTCAAAATATGTCATTTTGTAAAATCGTTTTACACAACAGCCCAGACATTTGTTGTTATCAATAACTGAAAGGGTAAGAGTAAATTGCATTCTTCAATAAAAATCACTGAACTTGAAATTGCGCGAACTCCTTTACTTGTTCTCCTTTACTTCAGTTTTGCTTCAGAGGGGAATATATAGAGTGCATAATGCTTTTCCCGCCATATTTAGTTTCCACCATGTACAGATGATTAGGGTAGGGTGGATTTGAAATGTATTAGCCACAAATCAACTTATTTTTCTGCAAGAAAGTCCTTAAAAGTTGGATTACATAACAGATGTGTATCTCTTTAACTGTATAACTAACATTCAAACTGTGTGATTGGTGGTCGTTTTAGGTTCAAATGACTGATAAGTTACAAAGTTAAATCTGTAAGCGATAATTAGGAGTATATTTATAGAAACAAATAATTGGGAACATGATGTGATGCATGTGAAGGAGTTCACGGAATAGGTAAAGGAGATCACCATTTTAATTCAACTCCTTATATATGCTTTGTACTTCTTAATATAATGTCACATTATATTACAAGCTTACGTTTATGACCTATGGAAGTAGTCTAACACAAAACAGCAATTCTTATTAACCTGCTATAGCTGGATTTACTGCAGAAATGTAAAGGAGACCACATAAATTTCTACAACTGTCTTTGCTAATATACAGAGGTGATATGTATTTCGTTGATGGGTTTCATATTTGTATTTTTATAATGGATGGTAAGCAATATCGGAAGCTGAAAT